AGCAGAGGATTCAGCCTCTCTTCTCGCCCGCTCAGCATCAAACACATGGAGTTCCTCATCTGTATGCTCCGGCTCAAACAGGTATGGCTCTGGGTCTGTGTCTGCTACAAGAAACTCTTCAAAATCGCGTTCAAAGTCGTCCATTGCAGCTGCTATAGTCCGGAGATATTGCCAGGCTAAATAAACAGTTGAGTTTTGTTTACAGGCTACGCTGTCAGTCAGTGTGCGGGCTGGAGATTGGTGGAGCAGAGAGGGGAGGGGGTCCCCGCTAGGTACTGTAAACGAGTATGTGTGTATGAAGTGTGTGTGTTACGCTAGAAGAGTCAGAGTTTGGGACGGAGTCTTTTACGTGCTATCCCCTGGAGTGTTACCAGAGTTTTTGGAGTGCTCAAATAAACTGGCCTTTTTCCCGAACCCTACTCTGGTCTCCTGCTCGTGAGGGATTCATTACAATATTGTAACATGGTTTAGATTTCTAAATAAATATTCACCTCGTCGCTAGATACACCTACTCCTGGAAAAACTTGTGTCTGCACAAGGCTTTTTGTCCTCACGAGGCCACCATCATTTACCTGACGGGAGGGGTGAGCGAGTGAGCCCTGCACTCTAGAATTTGACCACTGATGTCACTGTTTTCAACGGTTGTCAACCCATTTTACACACTGGGCCTTTAAGTCGAGACAAACAATGAAATGAGAGGAAAATATATGTATATGTATATATATATATATATATATATATATAATTCATCCGTTAATTTAATTATGGATTACTACAAATACAGTATTCTGTTTTAAAAGTATCAAACTGTCACAAAGTGAGAAAAATAAATCATGTATTGAAATCAAACATTTTGATGCATCAAGATGCATTTTATAATTGCATTGTAGCCCTCTGACTCGTGAGGTGCCTTGAGATTCTCACCCCCAGTTTAACCGCCCCCCCCCAACACTGATTGTGTCCAAAGATGACGAAGCTAAATTCAGAGAAAAAGAAAAATCTTTAATGGTGAAAGATTCCAATGAAAAAAGTTGTTTTACAGAGATATGAAAATATATTTAACACAGCATTATAAAACAGATGTTTTTATTATTGTGAGCACATATTGCTGCAGTCGTGTGTGTGCGCGTGCATGTGTGTGTGTGTGTGTGTGTGTGCGTGTGTGTGCGCGCGCGCGCGCTACGTGCTAACAGCTACATTCAAACAGTAATGACATCATCATTTAGGGAGAAGTGCGATGATGTCATCAGTCTGGGAGGAGTGAGTGAATGATGTCAGCCTCAGCAGGGTCCCTCCGTCACAATCAGGATATCAGCGTTTTTCTCCCTGGACAGAAATGATTAATAATCAGCCATGAATTGATTATGGGATGCTGCAGACGCTTGCTTAATATGATCATTATGTTGCAGTATTTTTTTTTTATCAGAGGTCAGAATTCAGATATACAGAAACCAATCGATCACATGAATTAAAAGCATTGGTGGTTTTGAACATATGAAACTCCCAGAGTGTGGAGGTATCAGAAGTTCAATGAATGACTGTTAATGACTTACAGCCTGAAGACACACAGAGAACATTCGTTTGGGTAGGTGATGCCGTTGCTGCCGCACACAGGAGAGTAGTTCAGGGGACATGCCATATTTGCGGTCATCCCCTCACAGGAGGGCTGCAGAAACAACAAACAACAAAACACACGTTACCCCTTCTTTCCTCAAACATTACAGGTCAGACACAAACTGACACGAATCCAGACTCCAGACTGATTTTCAGCATGTTTAGGTTCAGCGTCAGTGTTATTTATGTTCCCTGCCTCCAAACAGAAAACCTAAAAATACACACCACATCAGCTTTTTTCTGTTTACCTGCATGAACTCTTTGTGACTTTATCTGGTTAAAAACAAGTCACAGTTTGACTGTTCAATGCCTGAAGAAGCAGCAAGTGGTGCGTGAGATATCTCAGTTTGGTTTGGTAATCATCACAGTTCGTTGTATTTGACTCTTAGTTTCTGAAGAGTCTTTAAGTAAACATACAGTTTTCAAGGCCAAAATACACTGTTGGCGAACGGCGCACATCAAAAAATAAGCCCCTATTATTTTTGATGTACGACCCCACATTGGTGGCAGCTACACACATGTTGGCGCTCCTGGATGTGCTGCACTGCGGTACTTCACACCACTGTCCTATTTCCAGCCTCGCCACCCCCAGAAATAAATGCATTTTTCCCCCACTCGCTCTCTGCTTGCACATACCAGCTCCTGTAGCAGCTCTTTTTCTCTGCTGCTCTATCAGCTCAACTCCTCTCCTCACCATGGATGTATAAAGAGAACTCTGTAACTGTTACTGTCTCTCGTGTGTGACGAAGACTGGATGAGAAGTTGTTGAGGTCGAGAAATATCCCGAGCGTAATGACTCACAGTCATTATAAAGACAATGGCCTAAAAGACACTCCCTGGTGAGACATAGCTCTGGAGATCGGCTCTTCAGGTGAGAAAACTTTAATTAGTGGCTGTCCACACATGATTTTAAGCTAATGCAGAGGGGGAGGAAGTACAGATCTTTCAGTAAAAGTAGTAATAACTTTGCATGGTCATCTGTTGATGAGCTGCAGCCTGACTTGTTCGTGGTGTGCTGAGGATGGCACTTGGCGCGCATCATTTGGAGCGCTGCACCACGGAGGTGCCGGTGTGTTTTCAGCTTCAGAGTCCTGAGGCCTCCCTGAAGGCTAGGGATGAGCGAGTATACATTATCTATATCTGTTCAACCAACTGTTCAACCAAATTATCAATATTTGTGTCTGTACTTGGAATGGGTGGGGTTTTAACCAGAAGTGGGTGTAGTTTAAGATGGAAATGGACCAGAAGTTGTTATTATTTTAAGCCTGAAATTGATCAGAAGTTGCTATATTTATTATATATTAAGTATTTACAGAACAATTTCAGGATTGATCTTCAGATCAGTTTTGATCACAAGAATAAGAGATTAAATACAGCTACCCAAATGAGGATTTTCCATCATCACCAGTGCAGATATTGACACATTTTACTTTTACATTTTTCTTGAAATTCCTTTTTATGTTTATCTTGTTGAGAAGCGCCATTGAATACAACCCCATTTCCAAAAAAGCTGGGGCGCAGTGTAAAACTCTGATTTCTACTGATACTGTCTGACGCTTAATAACATTAAAGAAACTTAGAGAAATTCAGAAAGGATTAATTCTGTTAAATATACTATAATTCAATAAATTTCATTTCTAGAGCTAGTTCAGGTTTTAGAAAACAGTTTGTAGGATGCTTTTGTTTGTTTCTTACCCTCCTGTAGAGCCTGGATTTGTCCTCAGCATCTGAAAAAGAGACAGGAAGGTTTTTAAGGTACATCATAGCTTTAGTATTCACTGTTTATACATCTGATGCTGACCCTGTGCAGTCTTCCCTGGACTGTACACGTGACTCTTTACAGTCTTACCTGGACTGTCCTCTCTGTGAATTGTCACTATGTCGCGGTAGACAAGCGTATGTGCTCCTGAGATCCAGAGAACAATGCCGTTGTGGGGGTCCCTGAAGACCAATCCAACCAAGACCTCCAAGGCAGCACAGGTGGAGGAAGATGGCTAACTTTAAAGCCCAGGTCAGACCAAAGATTCACGATGAGACGGGTTGAAACAGGCAGCTACTTACAATGTGCCATTTTGCAACGTTCTAAAAACCTGCTGGTTTAGAAATACAGGAAAATGAACTTTGAGGCCTGGAATGTGCAACATTCATGTGATAGATAGTGAACCCAGTGACAGCCAGGAGAGGAGTACCATGGTCATTGCTAGAGAACTGAGAGGATACCGGATTGACCCTAGCTCTCCGATGGGCAGACAAAGGACAACTGAAGAAGAACAAGGGTTGCTGCAATCTCTTCTGGAAAGGAACAGGATCCATGGTATTGGATTTGCCATTGGAAATCAGCTCATCAATCACCTCTCTGAACTTCCTGTGGGGATCAGTGAGCGTTTCATGACCATCTGTCTGGTGCTTGCCAACAAGATGGTAATAGCTGTAAGTGCCTATGCCCTACCTTAGATTCTTAAGAAGAAGTGTAAGTGACTTCCTTAGACGAGATGCTGTTAACAATCCTGTGGGAGAATAAGATTAATCTCCAAGGACACCTCAATACTGGGGTCAGCCAGGACCGCTTCTGGAAGGGCACTGTAGGAAAGGAAGGCATCGGGAACATCAAATCTGATGGAGTTCTCCATCTTAGCAAATAAGGTATTGAGGAGATACCCCCGCTCCAAATAGCAGCATCTCATTCATTATGTCACTGTTCGAGCCAGGGGTTGCTGTGATGTTAACATTACAAGGGCCATGATCGATGCAGATGATTGCTGGACAGATCATCGCCTCTTTTGCTTCATGACGACCATCAAACTCAAGAGGAAAAGGAGGGTTCAAAACAAGCAGATCCGGCCAAGACTAAAATATTAAAGCCTGGTTGAGACTTTCACTCAGCAGTAACTCTTTCTTGGGGAAAGCCTTAAAGAGAAAGCCGGGAGAACAGATGCACCAACATCAGAGTTCTGGAGGAAGCCAACATGACCATCATCAACACCACAATAACGTAGTTCCAACCTGCATGTCCAACACGTCTCCCCAGACAGATCCTGTACTCCCAACTGAAGGAAAGTCAGGCAGATAAAAGACACTAACACTGGCATTACAATCATTTACTGTCCCTGTTATATGGCGGCTGATCTCGTCCTCTGCTCGGTGGGTAATGAGCTCCCGGACCTCAACATTTTCCCACTTTGCAGACATTTTTGGCTGCTGTTCTTTTTCTTTGAGTTAGCTGCTAACTGCTAGCAGCTACTTTTTAAATCTCATGGCAGTGGGTTGCACGCACAACATGTCATCACAACGTCATTCCCGTCCTACTGGCTGTCCAGTTCATGCAGGCATTGTTTTGACACCATTACCACCTCCAATCCTTAAAGGTGAGACAACTCTGTGCCCCCAGTCTGTGATTGTACCTTTCATATGGAACGGCAAGGCGGCATAACAGCGTGAGATTCCTGCCATGAAGAGGCAGTGTAAAAGCAGCTTGTATCACTCATTTGTTGACATTTACTATAGCAACACATTCTCACTCTGACCTCTTCACATATCGACGTTTAGTCATGGACTTTCCCCACGTCTAGATACGACTTGAAAAGCAGTTGTCAACTTCAGCCTTTTACATGCATTGCCTGCTTTCAAAATACACTAATGTTTTCACAGGAAATTCAATGTTTACATACAGTCTCTTTAAAAATAAACACACTACTTTGGTACAACACTGGAATTGACGCTTTTTGTCCTTCTACAACAAAAACATGTGGTGAGATCTAGGAAAAAACAACAGGGTTTGGCTTTAGAATTTTATGGGATGCGAACACCGGTCCCTCGGCGACAGTCGTGTTTGTTGGACCCATCCACCACCTCTCCTGCCTGCCCAACTTGGACTTTCTCAGCCTTTTGTCCTTGTCCCGCCACATTTCCCCCTGACCCCCTGATGCTGCTGGATGCCGTTAAACTAAAATGGTAACTGGCCGTGTCTCATGTTGACGTCAAAATAGGCCTTTTTTTGTTGGTTTCTGACGCCGCAAGTTTCTGCCCAAGTGCCAGATATCGACGACTTCGGAGTGAGACTGGACTCACTATAGAGTGACACCACTCAAAGGAGCTGTGAAAGGGGCTCTTAACTTTATTTCAGACCAACACTCAGAACAAAAACTAGTTCTGACCAGGTTTGGTGTGTTGTATCAGTTACCATGGTGATTTAGTCAGGTTAAAGGAGAACCACATTTTATACTACATGAATTAGACGATACGTTTTGATATCAGTTTGTATTTCACAATCATTTTATAGTCATTTCATTTCAAATTTTACAACTCTCATATTCACTTATTTATTTTTACTGTGTCTTTATGAATCCACTATGTCTGATCCACTATGTCCTGAGTTGAACTCCTCTCCTGTTTCTTCACAAAGCTCATCTGCTCTTTTATGGAGATGTTTTGTTCTACTTGCCAAGTATAGCAAATGTTTTATTTGGCAAGTAGCGTTGGACATTCGCAAGGTTTCATATTTCAAGTTCTCTTGGACAGGCAGTTCTTGCCAAGTTTACATCTCACATTTACATCGTTAAACCTGCACAAACCCGTGCTCCTACACTACTATACATCCCCGGGCTAACTTACATACATCAGCTCATCAGTACACAAACACACGCATGTCTGAGCACATACTCCCAGCTGTTCTCTACATATACCAAGCCCTATCTTTGTTCTTGTTTCAGATTCACTGATGCACCTAATGCTCTGTTAATCTACCCATGCGCACTTGCACTACATTTTGCCTTTATCAAGAGTCCTTTTGTTGCCTGATTGATTCATCTTCCTCAGATCTTGGGATCTACCTTCACCCACTGATCTCATCTTGTGGTACAGCCCTCAGCTCTGGTCCAGTCTTACCTGCACAGAAGAAAACTGCAATGCAGATGAGCAGAAGAGTCCTGCTGAACATCTTGGATGAAACCTCAGGAGTCAAATGAAATCAAGAATACTGAAGTTGTCTGAGGAGGTTGAATCAGTGAGTTGTCCTGGTGTCTGATTGGCCGCCGATGTGTCTGTGGTCAGGTCCTCTGTGGTTGTGATGTTTGGCGCTGGCCTGGTGTTGTCATATAGAGGCTCTGTGTTGTCGTCTGAAACCATGTGAGCTGCTGTTGTTGTGACGGCCGCTGTTCTCTTTTGTTCGGGCTTTAATCTCGGGATCAACATTCTGTCTGCTGTGAAATATCGCTGACCAAGTGAAAACTGTCGGGAAGAGGAGTGACACAGACACCAGAGCAGAAAAACAAGCGTGACTCTGTCACGAGTCTGCACAACAACGCAGTTACACAATTTAATCAATGAGTTGAACACAAACACCACGGCACGAGAACAGGCTCAAAATATTTATCATCATCATCATCATCATCATCATCTTCATCAACATCTTCATCATCATCAAATTTAATGAGACTGACAGATTTAAAGGTTAAAAACAGCTTAAAAACACAAAAACCACGACACGAGAACAAGCTCAGCATATTTATCATCATTCTAATCCTCGTCCTCATCATCATCATTTCATCGTTTCATTTCCAAAACATTGAAATTAATCATACAAACAGATTAAAGCAGATTTTAAAAAAACCCCACAACAACATAAATTCGCAGTGAGTCTTCACAGCTCTGATGGTAACTGCTGCCTTAACTTGAAATCAGATTTATATTATTAAATTAAATGTATATGGCGCCTTTAATACTGATAATGCTGCTTTATATCATATCATGTAAACACATTTAGACAAATACACAAATAGAAAGGTGGAAAATATAAATAATAGAGTGCAATAAATAAGGGGAAATATTAAATTAAATTAAATTAAATTAATTAGGTTAAATTAAATTAAATTAAATTAAATTAGGGGCAGCACAGTGCCACATTGGTTAGCACTGTTGCGTCACTACAAGGGGGTTCCAAGTTTGAACTTACTGGATGGGGCCCTCCTGGATGGAGTTTACATGTTCCTCCCTCGTCAGCGTGGGTTTTCTCCGGCTTCTGCTCACAGTCCAAAGAAGTGCATGTTAATTGACCCTCTGCTAAGCCTTGTATTGGTCCATGAAGCTCTCGTAGTTACCTCTTTTTGTATCTTTTTGTCATATGGATCACTGAAATTTATTATGTTGACCTGTTCTGTACGACATCTATTGCACATCTGTCCATCCTGGAAGAGGGATCCCTCCTCAGTTGCTCTTCCTGAGGTTTCTGACTTTTTTTTTTTTTACCCATGAAAGGGTTTTTTGGGAGTTTTTCCATATCCACTGGTAAAGAGGGGGATGGATAGAGGGAGAATAATAGAGGTGGATGAGGTAGAAGGGGAGGAAGGGGAAAGGGGGAGGAGGTGGGAGGAGGATACATATAAATATAGACAGTGCAGGCAGTGCAGTTGCACTGAGGCCCGTGAGGTGGGGGGCCCATACAGAGAGTCGGCCCTCAAACATGTGATGGATGGAGAATGGGCCCTTAGGAGTGATTGTTACCTTGGAAATATGGCTGTGTTCAAAGATGAACTCTCATTATTATTTTTTTTTTGTAAAAAAGTTCATAACATCTTTGACAAATTATTTGTTTATTCCAAATAAATTTTAATAATCTACGAATGACGTGAATGGAATTACTTGTAAATAGGTTGCACTGCGAAACTAATAAAATCCAGCAGGTGGCGGTGATGCAACACATATAGAAGTCAACCGCCTTAAAATTCCACGAAGAAGAAGAAGGGGGCGGAAGTGACGCGCATTTCCCGAGGCGCGTTGTTCGTCGCATCGTCGTGTCGGAGTTTTCACTTTGTTGCATTTTGATATTTTCTGGAGATAAAACATGTACGATCAGGACGAAGGTGAGCTGCTGTCTGTGTACACCTGCAGAAACTTTATCAACACACAGACCGATTAAACTTTATTAACACAACGCCAGTTTACCTCCGTAACCCGTTAGCTCCGTGCTAATGTTAGCCTCTGGTCTCAAAACAGAATACACACATGCTAACACCGGTTAGCTCACACTAACGTCCGAAACCTTTAATAAAACACTCAGGTTAACACCAGTTGGCTCACGTTTACATCTGAAACATTAAATAACACACATGCTTACACCGGTTAGCTCACATTAACGTCCGAAGCCTTTAATAAAACACACGTTAACACCAGTTGGCTCACATTGACGTCTGAAACATTTAACAACACACATGCTAACACCTGTTAGCTCACAATAACGTCTGAAACAGTTAATGAAATCAAATGCTAATCTTAATCTCATTTGATTTGTGAATTTTCTCTGATCGGTATGCTAACAGCAGTTAGAGGTATTAGCGCAGTGTTTTGTTTCATCTAACAGGCTCATTTAGAACCTGTTGTAATTAATATTGGTACAGAACCTAATTAAAGTTCACACCATCATTGTGTGTTTGTGATAGACACTCAATGATCTTTCAGTACAAAGGCCAAAACTACAGTAAAATGTATTTAAAGCCCCCAAATCAATATATATAGCTACATCAACCTTGGAGAATAAGATGACTGCATAAGGGTAACATTTATCTAGTAGTTACTTAATATTCAGTGTATATATTTATAATATAAGTTTAACTAATGATCCCTCTGGTTTCTTCAGGCTTCAGTCTTTATCAGGATACTCCAACAAGCAGCATTATCGAATCACCTGATCAGCACTGATTGATCCAAATTAATCAATAAATACAGTGAAAATAAAACATACATTAAAATAAAAACATAGTCTAAGTTGATGGGTCTGCCTACATAAAGGCCTATTGATAGGTGACAATACATATTGTTAAGAGAAAATGTATATTGAATGGCGATGCTATATTTTTTTATGTTTGTGTGTTTTTCAGATAACCAGTATGACGAGGACGATGATGAAATCACTCCAGATTTGTGGCAGGAAGCATGCTGGATCGTCATCAGGTAAACTCACCTGGACCTCACCTCACTTGTGTTCATGTGCCGTAGAGAATCGGTTTAGTTAAAAGTAGAGAACACTGATTATAGTTTTATTCAACGAGAGTCTAAAAAAAACCCCAGAAATCTGAAACTGCTGATGTTTGTTGGAGCTTTACACTGAAGAGACTCTGATTTCTTAAACTTCTGAATAACAAATAAACAAACAAAAGAAGAGATTTTCTTTCAGATAACGTTGGTTTTATTGTCAGAGGTTTTTGTAGCGTCTGTTATTGTGTCCAGGTCATTTATGATGGTATCTTAAAAAATTCTATTTAAAAACACTGGATTATAATCTTGAGTACTGTGTTATTCATGTACGAAGAACAGAGCCCAGTTACTCTCAGCTCTTATTTTGATAAAAATAACAGTTTCACTTTTGTCTTAAAAGTCCTTTTTTTGATGGGACTTTCTCTTCAGCTCTTATTTTGACGACACTCCTTTTGGCTCCTCCAGCTCTTATTTTGAAGGGACTCTCTTTTACTCTCAGTGCTCTTATTTTGACGAGACTCTATTTTTCTTTTCCAGCTCTTATTTTGACGAGAAGGGTCTGGTGCGGCAGCAGCTGGATTCATTTGATGAGTTCATCCAGATGTCGGTTCAGAGGATTGTGGAGGACGCTCCGCCCATCGACCTGCAGGCTGAAGCCCAGCACACCTCAGGAGAGGTGGAGGAGCCGGTAAGGAACGTCACCTGGGACTGGAGACCTGTACCAGGACCTGGTTTAGGAGGTTTAGAAATATAAAGAGCGACTTTGTATAGCTGCAATCTTCAGTTGTTATCTCATTAACGCACTCTCTCTCTCTGGAGTAACACAATGCATTTAAAAATTAAATTTAAAAAAGGCTCCAGTGACATCACTCTTTTACTGTTTCAGCCTCGTTACCTGCTGAAGTTCGAACAGATCTACCTGTCCAAGCCCACCCACTGGGAGAGAGACGGAGCGCCATCTCCCATGATGCCCAACGAAGCTCGACTGCGGAACCTCACGTAAGTCTCACCTGTCTTGCCTGCTCTCACCTGGTCTTGCCTGTTGTCATCTACACTGCCTGGCCAAAAAAAAAGTCACCACCAAAAAAAAAAGGTCATACACTCTAATATTTCGTTGGATCGCCTTTAGCTTTGATTACGGCACGCATTCGCTGCGGCATTGTTTCGATAAGCTTCTGCAATGTCACAAGATTTATTTCCATCCAGTGTTGCATTAATTTTTCACCAAGATCTTGCATTGATGATGGTAGAGTCTGACCGCTGCGCAAAGCCTTCTCCAGCACATCCCAAAGATTCTCAATGGGGTTAAGGTCTGGACTCTGTGGTGGCCAATCCATGTGTGAAAATGATGTCTCATGCTCCCTGAACCAGTCTTTCACAATTTGAGCCCGATGAATCCTGGCATTGTCATCTTGGAATATTCCCGTGCCATCAGGGAAGAAAAAATCCATTGATGGAATAACCTGGTCATTCAGTATATTCAGGTAGTCAGCTGACCTCATTCTTTGAGCACATACTGTTGCTGAACCTAGACCTGACCAACTGCAGCAACCCCAGATCATAACACTGCCCCCACAGGCTTGTACAGTAGGCACTAGGCATGATGGGTGCATCACTTCATCTGCCTCTCTTCTTACCCTGATGCGCCCATCACTCTGGAACAGGGTAAATCTGGACTCATCAGACCACATGACCTTCTTCCATTGCTCCAGAGTCCAATCTTTATGCTCCCTAGCAAATTGAAGCCTTTTTTTCCGGTCAGCCTCACTGATTAGTGGTTTTCTTAGGGCTACACAGCTGTTCAGTCCCAATCCCTTGAGTTCCCTTCGCATTGTGCGTGTGGAAATGCTCTTACTTTCACTATTAAACATAGCCCTGAGTTCTACTGTTGTTTTTCTTCGATTTGATCTCACCAAACGTTTAAGTGATCGCCGATCACGATCATTGAGGATTTTTTCCGGCCACATTTCTTCCTCAAAGACGATTGGTCCCCACTATCCTTCCAGTTTTTAATAATGCGTTGGACAGTTCTTAACCCAATTTTAGTAGTTTCTGCAATCTCCTTAGATGTTTTCTCTGCTTG